ATGTATATATATTTTTTCTATATATGTTTATATATATACAGGGATAAACTATTCTATTAGCTCAGCAAAGAGGCTGAGCACCAGGAGCCCCACCACACCGCTGTTCTCGCCCCGGGAAGCCGCCCAGCCGCAGGGCTGGTGTGGGGCTGGAGGTGATCTGGCCACCTCTCCCAGCCGAGACATTTTCTGCTCCGTCATCCTGAGTTTTCGGCTCTGCTTTGCCAGACTCTTCCAGGGAAGGCACCGGTGCCGCGCAGTGCTTTCTCCCATTGCCATCTAGCGTCTGCTCCCACAGCCCCAGACTGTTATTTTAAGGCATCGGAGCTTATTTATTGCAGAATAATCTTGGAGGACCAACAGGCTGCTCTGGCTATTAACAGCAGTACCTGCAGCTCGGGTAACTACCGGTGGGTGCACAGGTTGGGCTTGGTTATTTTGTCTATTGCTCCTATTTCGCACTAAAAGCCGACTCCGCTAGGATGGAGCGTGTGGATGCGGTGACACGTCTGGGGTGATTAAAGTCTGTCAGCCTTCAGCCACTTCTCTTGCAGCCCTGACATCACCTGAGGCTTAATCACTCAGAAAAGCGCTGTCATGTCCTATTGTCGCCGTATTGGGAGCACGACCCCTTTCCCATTTAGCTGCCATTTCCAAATAATGTCACTTGCCAGGGGACAGGCATGACTCAGGAGGCTGTAATAGGATATAAAGACAACGACCCACGGGTCGCCTGTTTGAATGCCGCCAAGGTCAGCAGCAAGGGCAAAGATCTCATCTGCACGGTGATTATTTGGCCAGAGGACCCAATACAGATGTAACTGGGTCCGTCAGCGGGGGCTGAGGGCTGGGTTGGGCTCTGCACCCACTTTGAGAGCATCCTGGGACCCTGCCCCTCCCTGCCTGGGTTTTAGGATGGGGTGAGCGCCCATGGTCCCCTCCAGCTTGGGAGTTTGCCCTCCACCTTCTTTCCTTGCCACTGCATCTCCCCTCTGTGCCCCCCTCATTTCCCAGCATAGGGAGGAGTTTTGCAGGATATGTGTGCCCTGTCCTCCTGCTTGCCCTGTCCCCTTCTCTGTATCACTTGCAAGGATTTAGGTCCCTGCTAACCTCATCTCCATTCTCAGCCACCACCGACCATGTGAATTTATCTCCTCAGTGGCAAACCAGCTCATGGAGTCAGTCTGAGTCCATGATTAATTAAGCTCTCCCTAGAAATGAGGTTACTCCCTGCAGTCCCCCTTATAAAAGTTAGCAGCGACGGACGCTCACACGACTTTCCCAGTGTTTTAGCCAAGGTCCAGCCTGCTCTGTGTGTTTAGTTTTCACTGATCTGTTTGGTTGTTTTTTTAATTATCTGCAAACAAAGTGGCCGCCTTCTCTGAATAACAACGCTGCTGGGTGAAGGGAGTCAGTGCTAGGAAAGCCTCAGTGTGCACAGCAGGAAAAAGGGTACAGTCCCATTGACCCACCTCCTCCGGGGCTGGCTGTGGTGTGTGATTCACATCAGGAGCTCGGCTGGTGACTCCTGCATGAATGACGCTATATAAATGCAAAGCACTATTCATATTTCATGTCGTAGTGAAAATGTACGAACGGGGCTTGTTCCTGGAAGATAAAGTGGAGTTCTTCTGTGCTTCCAACAGGTATTTCCCATGCAAACAGGGCTTGGCTGGACAGTGCCACCCAGGGGGACGTGGAGGGAAGCTCCATGGCCACTTCTTTTCAATTCCTGCCATCAGAGCAGGGCAGGGGACACGGCGGGTGGCAGTGGTCATGCAGGGGTGGGGATGAGCTCTGCCTGCAGCCCAGCACCCACAGAAACTGCCCATTGCGCCTGGCCACCCCCCAAAAGAGGGGATTTAAACCCAGAACACAGCAAGCCACGAGAGCCCCTTAGGATACCCACAAACCTGGGGATGCCTGGGGCAGAGCATCACCCCCATCACCGCTGGGTGCTGGCAGGATGGGTGCTGCTCCGTGCCCACCCCATGGGGGGGGTGCATCCCCCCAGAGGCCCCTTCCTGGCACAGCCACCACAGATGTGTTAAGAAAAAAAAAACAACCAAAAATGGGCTTGTTTGATTTCAAACTGCAGAACTCTTCCCTGGAGCCATCCGCAAACAGTGGTAATTTACTTTACAGCTGTTTAGATTTGTGTTCTCTACATTTTTAAAAAAAAATACAGCGGAATTGCAAATGAAACGTGTGTTTGCTCCGCAAACGGCTCCAGCCGCTCCCGAGCTCCTGCACCCCTCGCAGCAGCACCCGCTCCTCGGACTCTCACCCATCTGACCCACCCCCCCCCGCTCCCTGCTGCACCCCAAAGCTGTGAACCGGGGGGATCAGGCCTCAAAAAGGGGGGTCTGGGACCGGGAGACTCATCCTGGGAGGGTGACAGGGAGGGGGTGATGGGGAAGGGACTTGCACCAGCTTGTAGTGAGGGGAGCACTAAAGTGGTTAATCAAGTCCCGGTGAGATAAGTAACTGCTGCCCACTTATCAGAAGGTGGGGAGGGATAAAGAATCCTCTGAAGTTATTGCCATGGTGCAAAGTTTGAAAGAAAGGGGATTATAACGGGTGGTGTTTGCTGAGCTGCTCCTGGTGCCTCCGGCTCCCAGGGCTTTGACTGTGTCAGCTCTGCAAGTCCCAGCAAGCGAGGGTGGGCGCAGGGAGGGGGTGAGGGACTCCAGGCCACGCCGGGTACCCCTGCAGCATCCCTGTCCGATGCCACCCATCCCCGCACGGCAGCAGGATCGGCCCCCGCAAGCTGCGGGATGTCCCGTCACCCCCGGAAATCTGGGACACGTGAGGATGCACCTCAAAGCTCATCCCTTCCCCCCGGGAATCTCCTCCTCGCTCCCAGGAGCCCAGCGGTGACTCATGCCGTACCTCTCGCACCGGGCGATGCGCTCCAGGAGCGGGCGAGCACCGACCCGCAGCCGCGCCGGCCGCGCCGGAGCCACGGACCCCAGGTAAGCGGCACCGAAACGCTCCTGGGCTGCAGTCCCCGACTCTGCTGAGTGAGGTGGTTCTGGGGCTGGGGAATCCGCGTCTGCTGCAGGGTGCAGAGCCCGACCCGACGTCGGGGTGATGGGCGCACCCTGGGCTGTTGGAAGGTGCATGGGGAAGGAGAAATCCGGGGTTTGTGGGGGTAAACCCGGCGAGACGGGAGGTGCGTGCCTGAGGAACATTTGTGACTGCCCCGAGCAGGCACATTGCATGGGCCAGGCTTTGTGGAGCAATGGGGTGCGATCACCCCGAGAGGTGAATCTTGTTATTTTACTGATAGGTAAAAAGTTTAAGCAGGGTGGGTGCCAAATGCAGCCCTGGGAGTCCCGGTCGGCTGCAACCCTGCACTGCATGGGGTGCATTTGTCCAGCACAGTGCAATGCAAGGTCAAACGAGCTTCTCGGGGTGCTGGTACAGACTGAGATTCACCTGAGCTGGGGAAAATCGGGTTCTGTGGCTGCTCAGCCCTGGGTCAGCACCGCAGCATTTTGAGAGGCTGTGCAGCTCCCCCAGCTCTCCCTTTGCCTCCACTCTGCACCCAGCGTGGCCTCCCCAGGTGCATGGGCACGGTGCAGGTAGGAGCAGGGCCCTGCCTGGGCGGGCGAGCGGAGGCGACGGCAGATTCCAGCGATGGGAGAGGACGGGGCTGCGGGGTGAGTCACGCCCCGGCTGCTCCGACTTGTCATCTGCGTAAGGAAAGTTTAATAACAAAAACCTGGGCAACGAGGGGGGAGATGGCGCAGGATGGCACAGGCTGAGCCATGGACCCGTGGGGGTTGAAGGATGCTTTTGTGACGGCAGGATCGGCAAATTTGGTGGGTCCCCATGACTCCACAGAGGGGACAGTGCTCTGGTGGGGACCTTGGAGCTTCTCTGGTGTCACTCTGCCTTCTCTCTTCTCCCAGGTTAGCTGACGGGATCGAGGGACCATGAACTGGGGGGTGTTTGAGGGACTCCTCAGCGGGGTCAACAAGTACTCCACCGCTTTCGGCCGCATCTGGCTCTCCCTCGTCTTCATCTTCCGCTTGCTGGTCTACGTGGTGGCAGCCGAGCGGGTCTGGAGCGACGACCACAAGGACTTCGACTGCAACACGCGGCAGCCGGGCTGCACCAACGTCTGCTTCGACCACTTCTTCCCCGTCTCCCACATCCGACTCTGGGCCACGC